TTCATCATGGTCTACTGTCCTTCTCGCTTCTGTTTTCAATCACTGACTGTACTGAATACAGTATACTGTATCCCAGATAACACCCACTGATTAACTCTCCCGTAGGCAGACATCCACCCTATTTTTCTTTGGTGTCCACTTAAATGCAAATAATTCTTGCAAGTGAACAGCCATATATTACTAACAGACACTTTTTCCAGTTCCCAAGGGAATCTGCTTAGGAGAGAGGACTTAATTCTACTAGTATGGTCACTTCTGAAATGAATAGTCTGTTACAGTGTCATCCAGTGCTAAACATTCTTGATTACTCTACTTTGTCTACAGCTGCCACATTGTTCCTGTGAAATAGGCATCTTTGACCATCATTTGCTGAAAAAGCAGCATCAACAAAGAAACCTCCCTCCTCTGTCTGCAGTCAAGACAAAGTTTACAGACATTTTAAATCAAGCTGTGTAAACCTCTTTAGCAAGATTATCATTTAGGGCAATTAGAATTATAGTTCTAATCCCTGTTCAGGGTGTATGGTGTTCCCAGAGGTAAATAACTTGGCTCATCTCACAACTGGAAACCATTTGGGCACACCAAATGCACTATCCCTGACCAAGACAGGGTCTGTTTGAGTTTACTGGTAGTTGTTTTTTTGGAAAGACTTACTCCATCACACCTTAAACTAACTGAGCTTGGTTCTCAGTTTTCCACATGTTTCTTNTTGGGCAAAAAAAATCGCAGAAGGAAGAAAAGCCAGCAGGGCAAGTAAAAATAACCACACCCCCGTTAGCTCGAGGTCTGGATCCGCCGCTGCTTTGTGGACATTTTTTACTGTTTGCCACACTGGTCTCAAATTTAAAATTGTCAACAATTTCAATACTTACCGAGAAAATATAAAGATTTCTTTAATAATGTGCAGTATTAGCACATCAAACAAGATGACAGGACTGTACGGTATTAAAATACCTTACTACATTACTTACAAACCACTTAAGACTACTAATATACAGTATGTACAGAAAATAACATCTGAAATGCAATTAAAATGCGAGCGACTTTCATTTCACACACAGCTTTAGCATCATTGCCTGAATCACATAAGGATAATAACTGGATGGCTACCCTAGGGTTACTCTTTGTATGCAAGTCTTGACCTTGCTCATGTTAAAACCAACTGAAAATCTTACTCTGAAAGGATGAATTCCACTGCACAAATGATATACCTTTAACATATGAGCTTAAAAGTTCATTTCTCAAATTTGGGCCATTCCTTTTTTCCTGTTTACTTTATATTTAACCAGGGGTTTCAATAATGTTTTCAACAGGAGGACAACTGGTTTTCATAGGCAGACAAAACTTTTTGAATTGAACTTTTTATAAGGAAAACATTCCTCTGTATGGTCAAACCAGGCAGGCAAAACTATCATGTCAGCCTGCCAATTTGCCCAATGTCTGGCCCTTAATGAAGTCCCTTAATTAGCTTGCTGTTTTCTGACTTTTATATCGTAAACTATCTTTTTGAGGGTGACATGGCCAATTAATACAAGAGGCCTAAATAATCTTAGAGGTCTTGTTATTATGTAATGGTATTTAGTAAGCTGTTATAGTTATAGTAGAATTGAAACCCCAGAAATTGGCAGTACCATATGCTACAGTTGGCTAGCAGTAGAACAGTAAAATATCGGGGAAAGCATTTAATGTTTACAAGTAATAAATAAAATAACTCAAAAAGCAGACTGCTTTTCTGCCAATTTGGTTGCTTCAAACATCAGCAAAATGCCAAAAGACTGGAGACAAGTATCACATGTACATTCTACTTCCTTCAGACTACTGGTAATCCTATTTTAAATTAAATACCTGTCTGTTTAAGTATAGCACACTTTTCCAAAATAAATATTATATTTAACATGCAAGCAAAGCCTGCTGTAGAAACAAGAGTTCATCACTGGCACTAATGAACCAATAACTGTGGAACAGAATTAACTGATCTTAGCACTGACTGTTTGTCATAAGCACCTTGCATTCAAATACATCAATATTCAAATATGTTATGTTCCTACAAACTGGGTCAAGTAATAAATGTCATGGAAATCAAAGGTTCAGTCACTTTAATTTGCTTTTCATTACTATAAAATTAAAAGTAACTCAGCTGAATTTTGGCCTCTTAGAGGAGTCCATACGTTTACTATATACACTTTGATAAAATGTTCAATTAGGTACATCTTTGCTTTTCAGTAGGTAACATAGTTGAGATGTTGTTCTGCGTGGCACAGGGCATGCATGAATAAATGCTTTTCTGCTTTCTCTACTTCCTCCCATGCTGCTTCATACCGTCACTTCCACAGCTAAAAGCTCTGCAAGTAATTAGACAAGCTTGAAGAGGCCTCCATGGAAGCTAGCCAATGCTAGGTAACAGACAGGATATTATTGAAAGCACTGGCAGTGGACCACTGATAGGTCAGCTAAGGTTTGTGTTTTGTATTACTGAGTGAAGAATTTCAAGTCCATGCATTTCCTTCAGCTTGTCAAGATGCCTGCAAAATGAATAACATGTGCATAAGGCTCCATTATACTAAATGGGTAATACACATAATTATTCTGTACAAAAGCTTTGTCTTAGTTGCATCAATACCATAGAAAATTATCTCCTGGTCTTTACTTTTTGTAACAGCACCATGCTGCGTCAATGAATGCTTAAAATCCTTAAAGTGTAAAGGTCTATGTATCTTTTGTAAATGTTTACAAGTTTGAACAAAAATTATTGGAATTACACTTGACTGCCTAATTCCTATTATATTTGACATTTTTCATTTCTATTTGTTTGGTTTGAAAAATATGTTGATGTATGTTCTTGTTTTGATGTCAAAGCCTGACTAGTCCCAGGTCCTAACCCCACACAGTTTCTGACCCAACCAGAAGTGAAATTTCACATTTGCAGAGAGCTAAAATGTAATGAAAAATATTTCCACATCACGATCTCATGTAGATTCCATTGAGCCAATGAAAAAATATTTGTCATATACACTTTAACAGAAAAGCAGTGATTATGCGTTGTATTGCAATACCTTTTGTCTGCTGTGGCAAGTTTAGCTAAACAAATGGCAGCATTTTGTTTTACGTCATTGCTCAACTCATCATCTGTTGCATGCTTCAGGAGAATTTCCACTACCTCGCCAACACCAGCAAGATACTGGCTAACTTCCTCTGTAAAATAAAAGTCATTTACCAGGCTGATAAATTACTTGTAACTTATGGGAACAATGTTCTCCTGCAATAACACAATTAATTTGCCATTGCTGACATGTAGCACTGTCCTCATCAAGGTAGTGTTCCCGACTGGTTCAATTGACCTAGCCCATCAGACACAACTTAGATCTGTATAGTGTTACGTCATTTCAGCGTCAACTGTAATCTTGAATCCTAGACTGACTCCCAGGCCTCTCCTAATGACATGTAACACTATCCTCATAAACAGAGCGTCCCTGACTGGTTCAATTGACCTAGCCCATCAGACACAACTTAGATCTGTATATGTTACATCATCTCGACATCAACTGTAATCTTGAATCCTAGACTGACCCTTGGCCTCTCCAAGAGGGCCACAAGGATCTCACAATGGCTTAACTGTGTTCTCTGGGCAACTGAGGGCAAATACACCTTACAGCTGAATCTATCACTTTGTCCTTCTGAGAACAAATTTTGTATCTAAATCTGAGTATGTCTTGAAGTTTAAAATATGCTACTGGAATTCTGCATATTAATCTGATTTAACAGCCCATTAGTAAAGGAATTTTGAAGCAGTTGAGAGTCCTCTTACTTACCCATATCAGCACAGTGACCAAGGCATAGTGATGTATTTCCTATGATGGTTTCATCTGTAGAGTGCAGAAGTTGCACTAAAAAGTCCAAAGCTAAAACAGGAGAGTTGAACACCTTAGTTCAACCTTGCCATACACTAATTTATGCTGATTTAGCCAAACCTGAAAGCTGAGATCCTGATTACAGTATGTTAACCTGGCTTGAGCTTGCCATCCAATGGAAAATCAGTACTGGGCAAAGGTCAACTTAAATAAAAAAGCTCTAAACCTGAGGCTGCAATATGGTCATGTGATACTGGTCAGTGAATATCTTGTTTTGACAGGTCCACTATTACTACATGGTAGGCATTAGGGACCAGTGAAATTGTATCTTACATTTTCTTACATGTACCTAGTATGTGTATGCGTGTACCTTTCTCACTTAAGACAGCTTCTCTGGCATCTTTTCTCTCCATTGTGCACAGTGCCAGTGACTTGATGGCATATTTCTTCACAGTTTCCCTTGTGCTTGCCCCCCATCCCACCTGAAAATGGCTGCTAAGAATAACCAACTGCAGAAGGAATAAACACAACATTGGCTTATAAACAGCTACCAAGATGCACAAACATTAACAAAACAACATCTGTGAGCCAGTTCACCTCTTGAGTGCCAGACCATTGTGTATGCTCTGTGCCACACCATTTTCACCGAAAATGGGTGTCTAGTAAAAAACTTCACAGAGCTTTTTCACCTAATCAAAAGATATGTGCATATTTTCTGAACTTAGGTCATAGATTAAAGTGCTCCTTCAAAGTGGTTAATTTAACTGAGGTTGATGCACACTGTAATTTGATATCCATTTGATGTCATGAACAACAATGGGAAATTAGCAGTCTCTCAAAAAACCTCCTATGAATCTCAGGAGCTGATAAAAGTTTTTCTAGTGTGCCAGGAGTTTAACTAAATCTCTTGAAATTTTGACATATTCAGTACATCATATAGGCACCTGAGGAGCAAAAGCCATGATGTACATGTACTGAGTAAGGCATATAGGCACTCAGGGGTTAATATTTATTAAGCATATTCAAATGTAAGCATAACAGCAGGATGGTATGAGAAATGTTTCAAATAGCAATAATTTAGAACCCCACGCTTATGAGACTATCTGAGCAAAATGGTCACCATATGATGCAGCTCTCAATCATGGTCAAAGCCAATCTACTGACCATTAGATCAAGACAAATTCCTGTACTGACGTAACAGAAAGCAAACATTCCAGCATGTAACATGTCACCTTAAGAATGCGCAAAACGTGGATGTGGATTTTCTGATCACAAGCTTGATTTAATGCATCGGTTGAGTGAGCCAGTAGATGTCTAATCGTAGCAAGACTGCGCTAAAACGTTAAACAGAAGTAATGAGTTAGACAGGATTATCCTGAACAAACTTCCTGTATTTGTCACCGATAAGGTCCACTTTCAACGGACATCAAAAAAAAAAAAAAAAAAAAAAAACAGCATCCAGTATCACAGGGCTTAGTTGACAAAATTATTGATAAGTCTGCATTGGTTCAATTGCAGCCATGCTGGAAATGACTGACATTCCTCATAGCTAGATAAACGACATGAAGGTGTAACCATTAGCAGACGCTGGCACAAAGGCACAATTTCAGGCCTGAATCAACTACTCTACATCTAGACTGGTGCCCCCATGACACCGAGAAAACCAAGCAATGCTATAATGCAGTTTGTAATTTAATGGGTAATGACCAGGTTAAATCTAAGAATAGAATATATTGTACCTCACAGATTTCATCATATCCTGTGTTTAACATCTCAATGAGTGATGGAATCAACCTTGGAGCTGCATCCTGATTGACAAGAATTCCCAAAATACTTTTTGTGAGTATACCAGTGTCAGTGGCTGTTTATTATTGAGACATGCTCAGTTAAAAGAGTTTCTTTTCATATATAGTAACATTGGAACGTGCTGACTTCTATACTATTTCTGTCACTACTTACATATAACATACCTTCTGGTGTTGGTTTGGTTGTGTGGATATATTTGCTAGCAAACCAAGAAGAGAAAAGATGGAACATCGTACTTTCTGGTCTTTTATACCACAGATATGGCAATCCTGTGTAAAAATATAATTTACATGTTAATTAAAAACAAGGCCACACTTAAAGAAAAGAAGCACAGATTGAACTGAGAATCCTGTAAGGTTGGGAGGGAATGAAAAGATTGTCATTGGTGACTGACATTTTACGTAATACATAAATTTTCACAATCAGGTTCAGGAATCTGTTACTTTTTTAAAATTTTGGTCAGGGTTTGTTACATTTTTTTGTTACATTTCATGTGAAACAAATTTGTTGCTATAAAGAATTGTTCATAACTAAGTTACAGGTACCACTTGTTAGAATAGTAAAAAAGTCAGCATACAAGCCAAGTGGCCCATCAGGTCAGAGCTTATCTCGGTTTCTGTAACATGAAGTGACTAGGAATTTTTCTACTACCCCCTGGATGGGATGTAAGTCAATCACAAGGTTATGCTCAGTAATAGAAAAGGTTAAGGTAGAAAGGTAAACTCTGCATACGAGCCAAGTGGCCTATCGGGCTGAAGCTTATCCTGGTTTCTGCAGCATGAACCGACTAGGGCTATCTCTACTCCCCCCTGGATGCGATGCTAGTCCTTTGCAGGGTTACCCCCCAGCACTAAATTTGCCTGTAACCATTTATATACACTTGGCTGGAGAGAGACACTGTGAGAGTCAAGTGCCTTGCCCAAGAACACAACAAAATGTCCTCCATCAGGGCTCAAACCTGGACTGCTTGATCCAGAAATGAGCACACTAACCATGAGGCCATCATGCCTCCCACACTTGGGAGTAGAAAAGTAAAGTAAATAGTGAAGTACAAACCAGGAACTTGACACTAGTTTCCCACCATGCCTGTTCATCTGCAATCTTATTTCTTATGTAAGTGTCCCTGGCCATGTTAGCCAAAGCTGATAAACCAGACGACACCAGAGACCAGTTATCTGTAGGTTCGTGAGATGTTTTTTGGTTGCCTTCGCATAACTTTAACTGTACATGAAAGGACAATGAAAGAACAATGACAGTGTCAATGAGCGTAATCATGAAGACAGGGAGGGAGGAAGAGAAGCTGAAGGACACAATGGACAATAGATGTATGGACAAAGGACGAGAAGGAGCAGAGATGAACCTTTACAGATAAAAGGGTGCAAGGAGAAAGGAAGATCAAGAAAATAAGAGAAAGAAGGGTATCCACTTTACCACAAATTTCTGTGAGATGCCCAGAAAGTCCTTGTCAACCAGATCTCTAATTTTTTCACAGAATCTAAGAAAGAGAATTAGAGAGAAGAGAGAATTAGTTCTAAAATAATTTACCGTCCTTTGGTTTATGATTGTTTAACATGTACTTTTCCAGTTTGTTTTTACTGACTTGTAAATTCATTCTGATCAGATTATAAATTTAAGTTCAAAGTTCAGAATGAAAAAAGTTATACTCTTAACAATACCTTGTAAGGCTGGGAAATAACATGTTACAAGTAACTTGCCTCTAGACATAGCTTTACCAGAGCATATAACACATTTGACAGCTTTCATACCCTTGTTCCAAGGCTAAGTTATTAATTGTGGACATTGCCACAACAGCTGTATTGTTTCCCCTTTGTACAAGTGAAAATAAGGCTTCTGTTACCCTGAAAAAATAAAACATACATTCCTTAATCTCAACTCATTGATATCCACCCTTTAATGACTTTTTGTTTATCCTCACAGTCTGCAAGGTTTCATTTCATTTTCTTCTTGTCCACTCTGTTCTTATCATTAGTTTAAACCCTATTCAGTCTTCTAGTTGACAATATTCTTTCATTACTCCCATCTGCTTGTTTCCTAATCTTACCATTTGATATGTTTATATGTAGTAAGACCAAGTCTTCCCTTTTCAGTTTGTGACAGTTGATGGAGGAAGGACGTAGCAGCAGTTCTAATGACAGGAGAAGTTGGGTCTCTTAAGAGAAGATTGAATGATGGGGAATGATCCTTTCTGAGAAACTCTTCCACATTGTGATCTGGAAGAAAAATATCTTGCCTGTCACAAACTAATCAACAGAAAACAAACAAATTCAAAAAGCAGAGAGAATACATGTCTTGATTGATTTAGTAACTGACTGACTAACCAACTAACTGATTAACCAACTGACTGACTAACTGACT